ATAACACATCTTAATTCTTTTTACTTCCTTTTTCTCTCCTCTCGAAAGAACGTTTTGATAGAATTGGTAGTTTTTGGCGAGGATGGGAGAGAAAGATTAATATGACTGGATTTTGCATCTATAATAATTCATCATGGTTATATAGTCTTTATTTAACATGGTAGTACCACTTAACAGCTGAGGATCATTCGTGATTAGGAACAGATTTTAGAGCAAATACAATGAGTTCAGCTTTAGAAATGCTGATCTTAAAAAAAAAGAAATGCTAATCTTGTGGAAATATTCAGAAAGAAATGTGTAATAAGAGATTTGAAGGTGTGGGAAGAACACTATAGACTTTACAGAGGTAGATTTGAGGGTCACAAGTACACACAGGATAGTTAAGACTCGTTGCTGTGACTATCTAAGATTCATGAGTATTTGGAGCCGACATTGAAAAACTTTTCACAGGAAAAGTTATGAGGTAAAGGGGTCCACTGTGGCTCCCATGGCACCAACTGTCTTCTGATTACACGGTCAGCGCCTGAAATTGCCACTGTCAGTGATGTATTCTTTTAGGTTAAGATTGTATTTCTAGATAATTGCCTCTTAAAAATACCTTTGGGAGGAATTAGGCAGAGCAGCATAATGAGGAGAAAAACTGAACTAGGTATTTAGAGACCAGCCATTGAGTACTTGGGTGATGCTCAGCAAGTCACTTTGCTTCAGTTTCCTCATGTGGAAAATGATGTAGGACCAGTTCTTCAGTGCTTGGTAGATTATAATTCAATTAACAATAATGGTTTGTTGTAGCCTGGTTCAGTGATTTTCAAACTTACTGAGTAGCAGGTAACCTTTGAAAAAATTCTCCTGCAGGAACACAATGTATTAGGTTGCTTGGTTGTAGAAGCTCAGTTTAGGTTAAAAGCACATGCTAATTAATTTAGCTGCATTATGTTAAAAGGTGCAGCTGGGATCCCAAGAGGACAGGAACCTTAGGCTGCTGCACTGCCATAAATTGCTCTTTATGCATCTCATCTTTGTGGTGGTTTCATTCTATACAACAGAGTATGGTCACTGGCCACTCAGACTTCCTTGGTGGCTCTACCACTGAAGTTCCACCTAAAAATACTCTAGGAAAGAATTATTTGTTTTGGCTTGAGTCATATGCCTACCCTGTTAGCCAAGGTGAGAGATTCTCCTAAGCTGCATCTAGCTCTGTAACAACTTGTGTATCGCACAGGAAGGAATAGCTTCCTCAAAGGAGCACAGTTTTAAGAAAAAAAGAAGGCAACTGGCTAGATCACTAGATGGGCCATATATAAGACAGATTTTTTTTTAAAAGCTTTCTTGTTTAGGTTTTAAATACTTGGTTCTCTCTGTGTACTCTAGGTGGCTTCCATAGCATCATTTTGAAAATCCCCATAGGATCTAAATGTTTAGGAATCAAGGGACTTGAGTTGAGGAGTACAGACAGAGGTGGGAGGCAGGAGGAGACTAAGAAGACCATTTATTTTCTGGCGAACGGATGTATCATATGGCATGCCATTAGTAATAGCAGAAAGCAAGCACTCATCATTGGCTGAGATAATGGCATGATCCTTGATATCAAAACAGCATCTTGTAGAAAGGAATAAAGGGAAGAGTGATAAAAGAGAGTCAAAATGCCTGAAGAGGGGCAGAGGCATGAACAAATGAACAAGCACCTCTTTTGGATGAGCATCTAAATAAGAGATGGAGTTGGGAGGGAAGGGAAAGGACAGGTGAAAGGAAAAGGGAGGGTGAGACAGCACACGAAAGGCTTGGGAGGGAAAAACGGGAAAAGTTCAATGTAATTCAGTAAAAAGTAGATGTCACTGAAAGTTTAGAGGCTTGTCAGGGTCAAGATGACCCTACCACTGTACCAAAAGTTGTTTGTTTTACACTGAAGAATATGAGGAGCTGGGTATGATGTCAGAAGGATGGCAAGTTTGAGCTCAGTCAACTCAGTGAGACCCTATCTCAAAATTAAAAATAGAGAAAGGACTGGGGATACAGTTCAGTATGAAGGCCCTGGGTTCAGTTCCCAAAACTGTCCTCTCAAAAAATAAGAGGTAAAAATATATTATTTGACTAATTACATTGTACTGAATGTTTAAATGTGACAACTTTCTTAAAACGTAGCTATCAATGATAGGTTCTGCTAGCCTGGGGTTTAGCTATATCCTCCCAACTTGGTATCAGACCCAGAAAAACAACTTATCTCTCCAAGAGTAACTTCTATGTTCTCCTTCTCATTCCAGAGATAAATCTCCCACTCCCTTTTGCATGTGCACTGAGCCCTTTCCAATCCCAAGATTCCATAACCACCAAAGCTTCCACCTCCAGCCCCAGTAAATCTTTCTGTCTCCTGTTTTACACAGGCAGATACTCCTTCAAATCAGTGGGTAATATGTCATTTTACCCCCTTCCAAGCTCCTCCCCCAACCAAAACTGATAAACGTAGTTCCACTTCTTTGGTTTGAACACCTCTGTACTCCCTGCCCCATGAAGCTCTCCCATGCTCACATTAAAGACTTCCTCTTTTGTCTCCTCATCTCTCATTTTCTCTGAGCTGCTTCAGATTGAGTACCAAAAATAATCAATTAATATCAGTGTGTAGTGAGATAAATAAAATCAAATTTAATTAATTCACCAAATAGTAGTAGTTTTCTTAAATACTGAAATAGTTGTCTTTCAAGCAAGCTGCTCAACAGAATTTGAGAAGAGACAAAGGACCCTGGCATGGTGGCATAAACCTATAATCCTAGTACTTGAGAGGCTGAGGAAGGAGAATCAAGAATTTAAGGACAGCCTGGGGTACATAGCAAGCTCAAGTGTAAGTTCAAGGGAACACAGCATAAGGAATCTTATAGGACTTACCTGAGCTACCATTAAACATGAAGTGATAAGATTTATTTAGATGAAATATTGCTAATTTTGAAAAGACAGGTAGTCTTTAGAACCTCCAATACTTTTTTAATGAGAAAGAGTGAACTAATTTTGCAGTAAATAGAGTTCAGCAATTGTTTCAAAACACATTGTCCTTTCATATTGCTAATATTAAACTTGGTCAAACTTCCTCCAACTTAAGCCACAAGTTTCAATAGTATATATCACTTTTTAAAGGAGATTTTTGTTAAATTGTATTTTTAGTGACATAATTATGCATATTTATGGGATACATTTCAATATATGTATGCATGCAATGGTCATTCTGGGTAATTAACATATCCATCACCTTAAATATCATTAGTCATCAGTAAAAAGCAAATTAAACCACCATGATACACCATTTCATCCCAGTCAGAATCAAGCTATTATCAAAAGGACAAAGATAACACATGTTGGTGAGAAATGTGGAGAAAAAGGAATCTTTATACACTGCTGAGGTAATGTAAATTAGTGGAGCCTGACCTAGCAATCCCACTACTGGGTATATGTTCAAAAGATATAGAATTGGTATGCCCAAGAAAGGTTTGCACTCCCATGTTTATTGCAGCACTATTCATAATAAAGATTTTCTATTATATTCTAATTAATAAACAAAACTGCACTATCTGACAAAGGAAAAAAACCTGAAATGAGACTTCAAAAGTAGGTTCTGCTGCCAATTCTGTTACAAACTTTAATTTACAATAAAGCTGTTTTTTTCAAACATGGCTAGGGCCGGGGGATGCAGCTCAATGGTATAATGACTGAAAAGCTCTGGGTTCTATCTCCAGCACTAGATTCCAGGGTCTGGGAGGCAGGCTAAGTACTTCTGTTTTGAAGTGTCTTTCCAAGTCTTACAAGGAAATTAAAAACAATTATCAAAGATTTTATTTCTCTATTTCATTGCCAACTATTTGAAAATGATTTTCTCTCATGTCAATATGATTATAAATGAGAAAACAGTTCATTGGATGATATATTAATACTAGTTGATACATAAAAATACTGTTTTGCTTTTGTTTTTAGTGAGTCTACCCATTTGATTTGGCATAAAGAAAACATCTCTGGGAGTGGAGATTTAAACTTAACCTCAATTCAATTACTTTTAGTGACATCCACTATTATAAATGCTACAATTACCTTTTTCTCCAATGGAATGAGACCCATTTACTACTTAAAATTTAAAGGCCAACAAGGAACATCCTAACAGACATAAATTTGACTTTCTGCGCCAGCAAACCTCACATTTAATAGCTCTTTTATAACTTCACAATGACCTCTTCCCATCAGTCTTAGTGCTAAGCAGCTTGTGACAGTGGGCTCAAGTAAAAATGCCATCCTTCTAGACACTAATATTTCGTGTCACCTTTCGTATTTCCATATCTGGCTTATTCTGTAAAATTTCCTGTTTATGTGTCAATTTTCTTCACTCGGATGACTTACAAGTACAGAGATTTTGTATCTCCAGTACAAAACAGTTTCTGGAGCACAATATACCTGCTAATGTTTTACTGTGGATTAGGAAAGCACTAGGAATCTCTAACCACAGGCATTTGAATTTAAGTCTGTGAAGAGAACAGACTACCTCGCTTTATTTTTTATTTTTGCAGTGCCAGGGATGGAAACCAGGGCCTTACTCATGATAGGCAAACGCTTTACCACCGTGACTTTAACATTTTTTACGGTATTTATTTTCCTTTTTCCTTCAACACTTGGTAGTATTTCCTCTGGGGAAAATGTTTGTGTCAAACAAAAATGCTTTGATAAGATGCTATGGAGGCAGGTTCACTACTTGGAAGTGATTTTCTGGGCTTTTTTGCTTATATTCATTTTTTGCTTACATTTATATGTCAGCCTTGACTAAACAGGGAGGAATGAGTGTTTTTCAGAATTAAGGCCATTTTGACACCTTTTACACCTTTTGACACCTTGTGGTGATGATTGGGGAGGGGGGTGGTGCTTCTGGAAAGGGAAGTGGAAACTTAACCCAGGAGGAAAGCAAAGTAGCTTGCAGTCTTTTGGTCCTGAGGGGCTTCTTCACTCACTCACACTTCCTGGTAACACACTGGTGCAGCTGTTCTCTAACGGAGGACTCCTCTAATAGCTGTTTAGTTCGGACCGAATGACGATTTGCATTTGCACCTTTCCGTCCCCTGAACGATAACGGCATTTTACCTGCAGTAATATGGTCTAAAATGAACCGCAATCAGCACAAGGTGCTTAGTGTACTAAACAATAAACGCTCCCGTGGGAGAAACAGAGCGATCCGCGCCAAGACACCCTTGACCTCCACGTAAGTATCCGAGTCAGGGGCGCGCACTGGGAGGCGGAAACTGTGAAAACTGCCTTGGAAGCCCGTATCCTTTTCTTTTTTTTGGACCGAAATTGTCCCACAAAAGCAAAAACTAAACCCCAGAAACTTAAAATTTCAAGGCCATATTCGCACAGAAAACGACAACCGTTTACGTTGCAATGTTTTCATTCTGTGGCTGGCTCCAACGGCGGGTGTAATTTTATCGCGAGAAGGGAAAAGAACAGGACGGGGCCACGCCGCGCGTCACAGGTTTTTCTATTTACCTCTACACGCGGCCACAGATGTCACTCGTTGGGAAGCCCGCCGGAGACGCCGGGAGCGTCCCCTCGGCCACGTCCCCTCTCCCCGGGCTCTCACTTGACCCTGAGCCGCCCCGGCGCGTACAGTGCACAGCGCCAGGCCTGGGTAGGACGGGGGCGACACGCCCTCGCAAGTGTCCTTCTCCGCGGACGACCCCTTGACGCGGATTTTTTGACACCCTCCCAATCCTTATGCTGCTCGAGCGAGGCAAATAAGAGTAAGAAAATAGCCAGCGGGACAGGCAAACAGGGACAGGTCCCCCCCCCCCCACGCCGCCCAGCGCGCATGCGCAGCAACCGCGGCGCGAAGGGCGGGGCCAAACTACGATTTGGGAGCTCCACTCTTACTCCCCGCCCCTTTCCGTCGTCCCGCCTCTGGCTCGCGGAGCAACCGACTCCCGCCCGCTCCTCCACGTCAATCACCCTCCTCCTCGCACTCTCTGCACCTTGTTCTTAATCTCCACACGGATATCGCCGGACGCCGGTCCTGTCCTCCAGGGTGCGAGCGTGTGTGAGTGAGCACGAAGGCACCGCCAGCGGGCGTCCTGCCCAGCTTCGGCCGCCACCGAGCCCCTCAGCGGCGCGCCTAGCGCCGGAGGCCGCGGCCAGGCTCCGTGGGGCGCTCCGGCAGCCGCCTCGACTCGCGTCCTCGCTGGGCCTCAGCCGGCGCCCGGAGCCCGGCCCGCTCTCCTCAGCCGCTGCCACCGCTGCCGCTGCGTTCTCCGCGGCCCGGCCCGGCCCGGCCTGCCGCCCGCGTTTCCTCCGGCCGGCCGGGCCGCTCCCCCCGCGGGCTGCCTGCATGTCTGTGCTGCCCTCAGCCCCGCCGCCGCCGCCACCGCCTCCGCCGCCGCCGCCGCCCCCGCAGCCTCGCCGCCCCGCCGCCGCCGCCCGGAGCCCGGCGCGCTGGATGCAGGTGAGGGGCGCGCGAGGGGCGGACGAGTGCGCGGGCGCCATCCGGGCGGGCGGCGGGCGGCGGGTGCTAGCCCTCGGGAGCCTGCGCGCGCCGGCGGGAGTGAATGTGAGGGAGAGTGAAGGAGTGTGAGATCTCCGCCGCGGGGACATGGCCGCGGCGGCAGGGCGCGCGGAGCGGACTGAAGCAGAGCGTCCCTGCGCCTCCGGGTAGGCTCGGGAGCGCCGGGCGGCGAAGCGCCGGGAGCCGAGGTGGGAGCGGGCCCGGTGCGGGCGGGCTCGGGCGGGGGTCGAGGGTCTGCGCGCTCGGACTCTGAGAAGTCAGGCCAGAGCGGCGCGCCCTCCGCGGACGCCCGGTGACAGCGGCGCCACGGGCCTGGTGGGCCCCGGGGGAGCGCGTCGGCCTGCAGCGCGGCCTACCCGCCTCGGGCCCGCGCAGGTGAGGTTCGGGGGCGGGACGCGCCGCTGGCCGCCGCCTTGGCCGCCTTCGCGTCTCCCGAGGCGAGGCGGGGGTTTCTGTTGGCGTTGTGACCGCCACCCTTCCTTGGGTGGCGAGGGGACCGGAGGGAAAGTGAATCAGAGCCGTAGATCTGGGATATGGGGCATTCGGGTTCTTTTTCTCATATTTCCCTCAAGCTGTGCGTGCAGGGACTGGGTAAATATTTTGGGTTTTTGTTGCAAATACTTTCTTGTTGGTAAGACGTATTTTTTTTTCCTTTTTTTGGGTAAGAGCGACATTTTCCATAGTGGGTGGAGAAGGAAAGGGAGCTAGGTTTTTTGGCCTACGATGTTGGTGGGGTTGGATCTATTTCTTTGCGTTCGAAATTGTTTCATCCTGCCTCCTAGGGGGCAAAGGAAGGCACGCGCTGAGCTGAGGTCTTCAAGAAAGAGGAAGTTACCAGAGCTGTCATCTTCTGCCACTCACCAGCTGTTTACAGAGCTCTTGAGGAGGATTGTGCTCAGAGAGTTGAGCTCAGCTATTGGTACACTTTAGGAGCACAGCGCCACATTTTAGGAGATGTACGTTTACTAGTTATTGGAATTGTCTCTCGAGACAGTCACGTTTTCCTCATAGTCTCCAAAATCTAGCGCAAATAGCTTCTTCCCAGTGTGTGGAAAGCTATCTTGAAAGTACTGTAAGCAAAGTGCGATTATAAAGATAAAATCTGCTGTCAATAGGTGTACCATGCATTTGGAAACCAAATATAAATGGCAATTGGGTAATTATTTGCTGACTTACTTCACCTTTTTATCTACTTAGTTTATCTAGCTAGACCCTTACAATGAAGAAAATGGTAAAACAGGTTTCATCCTTTTAGGCCCTCCTCTTTATAAGGGATAAGGATAGGGATTGATCTTTGAGCCTGGTCTCAAAGAAATAGCGATGCTGTTCCCTGAGGTGTGGGAGTAAGAGGAGGACTGAAGAGCTGTTTTCTGTCACAACTAATTCAGAGGTAGTTTGACATGTGTAGTTTAATGGCAAAAAGATTTAAAGACCTCAGGACTCTCCAATGCCTTTTTTCTTAGCTGTTTGGCCATAGGCACAGTACTGTATGTAGCATTCAGAAATCTTTGCTTTCTTATCTGCAGTAGAAAGATAGTACCTTTCAAGGGACCCTGAGATTGAACCCAGGGTCTAGAAATGCTTAGGCAAGTGGTTTACTGTGTTACATTCCCAGCTCTTGTCTTTTCCCCTCTCTCTACTCGAAATTGTGATCCTAACAATTTCATTCATGTTCATTGCTGGGCTTACAGGTGTGTGCTAAAGTACTAGCTCCCAGCCCTTGTTTAAATTTTGTTCTGGAACTCACTTCCCTAAGTTGCCTAACCTGGCTATGATTTTGAAATCCTCCTGCCTCAGCCTGCGTAGCAGGTCTGTAACAACATCCAGTGTTGTCCTGTTCTTCCGCTACTCCCATAATACTTTTTTGTAAGATGTGAGAATAGAATAATGAAGTGTCTGCGACCTAGTTGATACTTACAGTTCTGCCTACTACAGCCTTATGAATATTGAAAAACATTCATAAGTATTAATTACCAAGAACAGTAATAACTGAGTAAAAAACAAGGTAATAGGATTTACATTGGGAATGTAGCTTAGCGATTGAGCACTTGCCTACCATGTATGAGATTCTAAATTACATTCTTTAACATAAAAAACAAGTAAACAAAAAACCTGGTATTGTATGATGGCAAATGCCTGTAATCCCAGGACTTTGAAGGCTGTGGGAGAAGGATCACAAGTTTACAAATTGAAGGGAGACCCTGTCTGGGAAAACCAACCAAACAAAAGAAATCAAGATAGTGGAATAATTCAGTGTCTTTTAATATGTACACAATAGATAAAAAATAGTTTTATTGTGTTTTAAGTTCTTTTTCTAGATGTCTGATTGTCATTAATGTAGCTCAGTATTGTAGTTCATGGAGAATAGTTGTTCATATTTTTCATACTTTCTAATAACCCATCAGTTTTATTACATAGGAGATTTTTGCTGTGTAGCCCTAGAGAAAAAATTTAAGGTAGGATGTACACGTAATAAAATGAAGTGTTAAAAAGGGTCAAGGAACCAGAGTTTGTACAGAGCCATAGAAAATTAGTACCACAGTTCACATTGATTTTGAGAAACAAAACTTCAGATGTTTTTGAGTAAAATAAAAAATCTTAGCAACTTCCTATGTTTCATTTTTATTGTTTTGTATGGAGTAGTAAATGTATTTATTAAATTTTAAATGCATTGTCTGGAAAAAAAACCCATGAAATACAAAGTAAAAGCTAACAGAAAGGTTAATGGAAGTTTTTTTTTTCTTTTTTTTTTTAATTTGGTGAAGGCGAGGTAAAGAGATTGTTGAGGAGTTTTATTGATTTGTTTGTAATGTCCTTGTTTACAAATGTGAATATTCTTAATTAGGCGTTATATCGTTATTGTTTGTATCAGCAATGGTAAATTTAAAAATTTACTAGATTTTCCTACAATTAAAATTTTGACACAGTTGGTTTAATTTTTTAATATAGAAAAATTTCTGTGAAGTGCTTCATTAGAATGTAAAGTATTGGGGCTGGGGATTTAGCTCAGCGACATAAGCGCCTGTCTTGCAAGTGTGTGGTCTTAGGTTCAATACCTGGTACCGATAAAGAAAAAGACAAAAAAAAAGGAATGTAAAGTACCATAATTTAAAGTGTGTTGTGGGTTTGTGTATCTTTATAATGAATAGAGAAATCATCTGTCATATGGTTGTATTTAAAATCTTAAATGCTAACACTTAAAATATAAAAACAAATTATGCCCTTATTTGGTAATTTTCATTGGACACTGTGCATTATACAGTATTTAAAAAGCTTACTGATACATATATAAAATATAAGCTTGCATACATATATTGCATATATATCTGTATTTTTTTTATGTTGGGAGAATTGGCGAAAACATTTTTTGGTCATCATGAAGACAGATGAATTTCAGCTACTTTTAAATGTTTTTTGTACCAGGTATGGAACTCACAAACTCAAGGTACTTTTATTTAGACAGTGAAATTTACTAAAAGTGAAACACTTCCTATGCAATCTTTGTTTAAAGGAATTACAGTATAACAGCATTAAGGTGGAGAATTGCTTAGGTTTTTAATTTTTTGTTGTTGTTATCTTTTTCCTTTATATCAGTACCAGGGATCGAACTCACGATTGCCTGCCTGCAAGGCAGGCGCTTCTGCTGCTGAGCTAAACCCAGAACCTCTGCACTGAGCTGCTTCTTTCAGCACTTTTTGTTTTAATTT